GTAATATCAAGCTAAGTAGTATTCAAACAAAAGCTATTAACTTTTATTTTTTTTTTTAATTTATTTTTTTGAGAGGTTTTTGCTATAGGGCGTGTGCGCCCGCCAGACAGACAGAGAGAGACAGAGAGACAGAAAGCAGGAAATCACCCCCCCAGGGGGGATGGTCACGCTGCGATCCCTTCTCCTCCATTCTCTTCTCGGGATCTTGGGCACGCACGCACACGCGCCCGGCGTGAGTTTAAGCCACCAGGTCCGGGACTTGAACCACGGTCGACTACGTGGGAGTCCAGCGACATAGCCATTATGCTAACTGCTGGTCCCAACTTTTATTATTTAAAGCAATGATCAAATTCAGAAATCATGAAGCAAAATTTTCAACTCCAAAAGCAGAAGAACAAGATAAAGAGACCAAAAAGTGACAAATTGGTAACAGCAGAAATTCAAGAATAAACCCCCAAACCACAGCAGGCACATGTGTATATGTGCTCCAGATCCTGACAGGATGGAAAAATGGAAGAGAAAAAATGGATTGAGGCATGATCAAGCGTCACGGTGAGGTGCTTTCTCCTTCTCCCTCTCTGATTCTCTGTCTCTCTCTGGTGAGCACATGGACCTTTTGGCAATTTAAAAAAGAAAATAGAATAAAAAGGAGCAAAATCTAGAAATGATTCTCTTAAAAAGCCACTAAAAATAGACCACTTGTACATTATGATCTAAAAAAGACTGTAAAAACAAAGATGACAAACTCATATGAGACTTTCAGTTAATAGGAGTTTAGATCGTTTATTATAGCACAAATACAAACACCTATAATTGGGAGAAATTATGGATAAATTTTAATCAACCCCTGTTATGACCTTGATGTCAGAATAGCAGTTCAGCCACAGTATACGTGTTCTTTGTAAAAGCTCCCACTGCTGCCTCATCCTGCTGCCTGCAGACTTCTCTGCCCAAATACAATCTCAGCTCAAATGTTGACTTGCCAAAGCATCTTTGACCACGTGTTCACCCTCTAGTCCTTTCACCTTAGCCTGCTTTACTCTTCTTCGTATCATCGTATGATGCATATTTATCTGTTTATTAATGTATACGCCTCCTGAGGAATAGTCTGTGTCTATTTTCTGCATTGATGTCTTCCTGGGGCCTACGCCAACAAGTGGCTCAGAGCAGGTTGGTGATAAGTACTTGTCGAATGAAGTCTGTTCCACAAAACATTATTGTGTATGTAGGTGACATGGTTGGGTAAGCTACAGAACAAGTCCCTGAAGAGTGACATTTTGTTTTCATGACCTAGCAATAGATGTTTACATATTCTCAATAGTTTGTGGGATAGAGTTACAGTTAACCTGGGCTCACCATGCTTTGGAGATCATGGTGGACAATGTCTGGTTCATGTCTGCTGTGCTGAGTGAAGCAGTTCTCCAGGGAGACTGCCAGTAGTTCTCTGGAGCTTCTGGTTTATAATTATGTTGTTGCAAACAGCCTCATTTGGTGATCCTTTGGTGAGATGGCCAAGTTGCCATACCAGCCATTAGATTTGAGGGTCTCTTTGTTATAAGAGCTTAGAATATAGTAAATTCAGCTTTCTTAGTTGCAAAATGAGAATGACACCTAGTAAGGCCTTTGTATAGGGAAGTATGCGGCAGGAATTAAAAAGTAATAGTTACGATTATCCAGACTTGTATGGATTTCCTTTCTTCCATGAGTGAGAGACACAGACACAGCACCCCCAATAGAATCTTTTTTTTTTTTAATTTGCTAGAGGGCCCAAGAGCTCACAGAGGAGAGAAAAACACACATACACACACACACACACACACACACACACACACAGAACACGGGGCATGGTCATGCCATAATCTCCTTCTCCGCTATTTCTCCCTCCTTTCGGGATTTTGGGCACACACACATATGTGCCCAGCATGTTTCTCAGGCCTTCAGGTCCAGGACCCCAACCACAGAGTCAGCCATGTGGGATTTACCACCTGAACTACCATGCTGGCCCCTCAGTAGAGTCTTGATGCCTCTATCTATCACCAGTCTTAGCCAGTTCAGACCATGAGCATGTGTGCATCTGGTATGAACCCAGAACCTTCTCATGTGGGCAGTCTAATAGAGCCCTGTGTTTTAATACTGCATCACCATCTACCCCCCAAGTTCAGCTCTCCTTTAGCCTGGCGTCAAAGTAATGGTTTAGGCACAATCACTGAACTACCTAGAATGGTGTGACTGATGCCAAAGTCAGTCACAGTCAAGATAAGGAACCGTAGTACCCTCTGTACACTGCCCCCCTCCCCACCAAGCCCTGGTATCAGCAAGTTGCAGATTGGTCTGTGCAAAAATAGGAAGAGAAAACTTTGTATTAGTGGTAGTGAAAGAGGAGACATTTGTAAAACAGGAATTTGATTAGTTTTCTGTGATGGCAAATGCTACCCAACTTCTGTTCCTTATCTCTTCATGAAACTTGTGATACTATTCTATAGAGCTAGATTTGTTCTGAAGCTATATTTAAGTGTTGAATTTAGCGTTTATTTTTTTTTTAAGAGAGAATTTTGCTACAGGGTGCATGTACTCACTGGAGAGACAGAGAGATAGAGAGACAGAAAGCAAGAAATTACTCTGCAGGGGGGATGGTCACGCCACAATCCCTTCTCCTCCATTTTCCTCTTGGGACTTTGGACACACACACACACACACACACACATCTGTGCACACACACACACACACACACACACACACACATGCCCGGTGTGAGTTTGAAGCCACCAGGTCCAGGACTCAAACTGTGGCCAACCATATGGGAGTCCAGCGACGTAACCCCTATGCCATCTGCTGGTCCCAAGTGTTGACTTTAACTTCAAGAGCAAGCATAGGGAAGAACTTGAGATTCTCAACACAGCAAGAATGGAACAAGCTGACCAGGAGTTGCACTGAGGACCAACAGACCACATGAGACTTGCCTGAGCACCCCTCACCCAGTAACACTGGACAAAGTCACTACCAGTTGGAAAGGGGTGATTTCTGAGTACAGATCAACAAGGCAAAAATTGGAATATTACTTGAAATCTCCCTCCCACCAAAAATAATTGACATATCTTGCTAGTAACAATACATTTAAAAATTCCCATTTCATCAGGGAGTTTGAGGCACAGTTTTTAAACAGAAACATCTCAGCACTTACCCCAGTATTTTATGGGCTTGGTTCTCCATGTCAAGAAACTGCTACATCTGATTTATATTTCTTGATTTTTAATCTGTCAGGGAAAAATAATTTAGATTTTAAAAATGCTTACATTAATTAACCTATAAAACATGAAAATTTTGCCATGGGCCCAACATGTAGAATGAGATCTTCTGAGCAGTAGCTCTTGATTCTGCAAAATGCAGAAACTTGGGCTCTTTTTTCTTTCTTTCTTTCTTTCCTTTTCTTTTCTTTCTTTCTTCCTGCATTTATGATATTGTCTTAGTGATCAGTTGAAATATATAGTATTGGCCGAAATGAGCATCCATTTACTTTCTTTTTTAGTTTGCTATAAGGCATGTGCATTTGCCCATGACAGAGAGGGAGAGAAAGTGAGACATCATCCTCCAGGGGGTGTGTCCACACCGCAGTCCCTCCTCCTCCATTTTCCTCTTGGGATTTTGGACACACACACACACACACACACACACACACACACATGCACTGATTGTTTTTCAGGCTGCTAGGTCTGGGACTTGAACTGTGTGGTTGGCCATGTGAGATCAGCTGCCTTAACCACCATGCCACCTGGCTGGCTCAAGCATTCATTTACTATTTATCCAACAGCAGCTTGGTACCAAGCATAAGGGATTTTCAAATGGTTCATGGAAAAATGCATTTAAAAAAATGTGGATGGATTTAAACTTTTTTTAATTACCAGAGGATGCATATGCTCAGCAGAGTGAGTCAGAGAGAGAGAGAGAGAGAGAGAGAGAATGTATCCCCACCCCCACGGGGCATGGTTACACAGCAATGCCTTCTCCATCTTTCCATCCTGTTTGGATTTTGATCATGCTGGTGCATGGGCGTGAGCCCTGCGTGTTTTTCAAGCCACCAGGGGTGGGATTCAAACCATGAGCACTATGTGGGATCCTGCACAGGGCCAGCTGGATTTCAAAAAATTTTACACTAAAATAAACTGATATTCTTTTGTTTGTTTTTTTTTTGGAGAGGTTTTCGCTATAGGGCGCGTGCGCTCGCCAGACAGACAGAGAGAGACATAGAGACAGAAAGCGAGAAATCACCCCCCAGGGGGGATGGTCACGCCGCAATCCCTTCTCCTCCATTCTCCTCTCGGGATTTTGGGCACGCACGCACACGCGCCCGGCATGAGTACTAAACCACCGGGTCCGAGACGCGAACCGCAGTCGACTACATGGGAGTCCAGCGACATAGCCATTACGCTAACTGCTGGTTCCCAATAAACTCATATTTTAATTTCATTTTTCTGAGAACTTATGGAAGTCCCATTGTACTTTGAAAAATGCCCAATAGAGGAAAAGTAAAATTGAATTTCTATTTAAGGGAGTTCCAGGTAGTCGTGCTCAAACTTTCCTTTCTGGTGGCTCTCCAAAAGGTTTGCCTCTATTGAATACTTCAATACTTAAATTTAAATTTATATTTAAATATACCATGAGATTTAGGACAATGGCCAAGAATTGCCTAAAGTAGAATTACAGTCTCACAATGGTTCTGTGGACACTGGCTCACCTGTTGACAAAGAAATTTTTCCCTGCAACAAAGTTTTAGCTAAAAAATAATCTATGAGGATAAACGGGCAACTTATTGAAAAGGACTTTACTTCTTCCAAAGCACTAAATAAAAATCAGTTAAAAGTATTCAAAGAATAGTAAATAAAAAAATTATAGAAAGCATTCCAGGTGACAGAAAGAGAAAGAGAATCTTTTGGCTCCTCTCACTTCCAAATTGAAGGTATTTAGGAGAGACCCTGGAACTGGGCGGAGCCGAGGGACGAGGAGCAGGGATGGTGAGCAGGAACGGGGAAACGGGTTGGAGGTTCATAAATGCTTCGCTGTAGCGTCGGGGACACTGAGGCCGGCAAGGTGAGTGACTCGCCCAAGCGCACGCAGTGGAACCCAGCCCTAAGGTGGGGCGTTCTCTGCTCTGGGTTCTGCAGGCCGCCCCCACCCCGGAATCGCTCACGCGTTGCCTACCCCGCCTCTCCCGTGCACGGTTCTGCCCAGCTCCTGCCAGCTGTGTCGGGGTTCCCCGGCCCTCTCGAGGGTCCACCAAGCATCCCAGCCCAGGGCGAGAGTCAGGGGGCGAGGAAGCGCCGAGAAGGGCTCACGCCGGTTACCTGCGCCGCGCCGCGCCGCGCTCGCCCAGAGGTCTGAGGCCCCGGGAGCAGGGCGCGGGGTCACGGCCCACCCCGAGGGGCCCCGCCGCCCGCTCTCGCTGCCCGCCCGCCGCGCCGCCGCTGGTTGCCATGGGGACAGGCCCCAACTCCCGCCGGCCAGCAGCGGAGTGCGTGCGGCGGAGGCGTCCGGGCCTCCCCCAAATCTCCCGCGCCGTCTGGCAGGTGCGCGCCGCCAGTCTCCCCGCCGCACCCGGCGGCCTCCGGGCGCCTCTCCTGTGGGCCCACTGCCCAGCACCCAGTGCGCCCCAGCGTTATTGCTGAGGGAATGAAGCACCCAGAGAACCAGGGGACCGTGTGAACACTTGGGGTGCTTCGCCGCCCAGCTACTGGAGTTCCCCTGGCCGGCTTCCCTCTTACCCAAATCGGAAATGGTGTGAAAACGGAACAGTTGGGGTGAAGAGAGCCTCCTCCCTCTATCCACTAAGGCGACTTCCAGCTGGGAGGGACCGGGGTTCTTGGAAGTGCATGGCCCAGTCCTTGGTTACTCCCGTGGTGTCCGCAGTTGTGTGCCTGTCCTTCGCGGATAGCGCATCGGGTCCTTGGGAAACTCGGCCAGTTACCGCAGACAGTATTGCACCCCTTTGGGGGAGAAGGAAATAGTTTCTAAGCGGGAGAACTGGGACTGGGACGGAACTCGGAACTCGAGGCCACTGATTCCAAATTCTTTCCTTTCTTCACCAAATTCCAAGACTAATTGATGACAGAAACTCTGTCCTACCCTCCTGACTATATTCTTTCCATAGGCAGGAAAGAATATATGTATGTGTAAAATTACCAAAAAATTGTTTTCCCTATTGGTATCTTGAGTGATTTTTAAGCACTCAAATTTTGTATTTGGAAAATATTAACATGTTTATTTTTTTATAGTCTGTTTTTATAATCTTAATAGTAATCTACTTTAATGTGGTTATCTATTTAATACTGACTCATATCCCTCCATGCAGGTTCCATCTGAATTTCTTTCTTTCTTTCTTCCTTTCTTTTTTTTTTTTTTTTTTTGAGAGGTTTTTGCTATAGGGCGCGTGCGCTCGCCAGACAGACAGAGACAGAGAGACAGAAAGCGAGAAATCACCCCCCAGGGGGGATGGTCACGCCGCAATCCCTTCTCCTCCACTCTCCTCTCGGGATCTTGGGCATGGACGCACATGTGCCTTGCGTGAGTTTAAGCCACCAGGTCTGGGACGCGAACCATGGTCGACTACGTGGGAGTCCAGCGACATAGCCATTATGCTAACTGCTGGTCCCACCATCTGAATTTCTTAAAACCATTTGCTGTTTCTTGACAAATTGGATTTCACGGATGAATTGTGTACAGTAACCTAGGATATTAGTTCTAATAAGTGTTTCGGAACTCTCATATCATGATTGAAGGAAGAGACTAATCATTTCATCTTAACTTGAAACTTTCCATTATTCTGAAACCTTAGTCATACACTTTATTCTTGTCTAAATTGAATAGGTCAATGTATTTTTCCTGACCCAAGGAAGAGAAATGGAACAGGAATGAAATTTAATGAAGTTTCAGGGTGCCTGAGATCACTCGACGCTGTGTAACTCTTTACCACCAGTAAGTACTTGCACACTCATTATTTCTTTAGGGGCTTGGGAATACCCTGCTAGGCCAAGTGTTACAGGTGTTATTAATGGCTGCTCATAGCAGGTTAGGAAAATCAGGCTTAGAAAATAAAGGAGGGACCAGCAGATGGCGTCACGATTATGTCGCTGGACTCCCACATAGCTGACTGTGGTCCAAGTTCCAGACCCAGTGGCTTAAAACATGCTGGATGGGTGTGCCTGTGTGCCTAAACTTCCCAGAGGCGAATGGAGGTAAAGGGATTGCTGCATGGCCATACCCCCGGGGAGTGATTTCTCACTCTCTGTCTCTCTGTCTCTCCAGCAACCATACATGCCCTTATAGCAAAAATCTCTAGGAAAAAGAAAATAAAAGATTTGTCCAAGAGGTTACATCTTGTTCAAATGCAACTAAGACATGAGCCTTGGTCATCTTATTCCAAATCCAGTGCTCTTCAAACTTCGTCTAAAAAGTTAGATTGAGTAGGTTTCTTTAGTAGTCAAGATCTTCTGTAGGTAAATGTAGAGTTCATATTTTTTACAAGAAAAATAGATGTGGGAAGGGCTTATAAAACATGTGAGAAGGGGACCAGCAGATGGTGTAATGGATTTGTTACTGGACTCCCATGAAGTTGACTGTGGTTCAAGTCCCAGCCTCAGTGGCTTAATACTCATGCCAGGTGTGTGTGCGTGCATGCCCAAAATCCTGAGAGGAGACTGGAGGAGAAGGGATTGTGGCGTGACCATTCTCCTTGGGAGGTGATTTCTCGCTTTCTGTTGCTCTGTTTCTCTCTCACAAGTGCACGTGCCCTATAGCAAAAATCTCTCTCTTAAAAAAAATGTGAGAAGAAACATACTGCACTGGATTTTAGGAAAATTTGAATATAGAATAGAAACACCACAGTCAGGTCACTAGGAATCACGGCTTTCATTTCAGGTTGAGAGTTAAAACTTAAAATGCAAAGACCTCACCCACAGTAAGAAGTAACCACAAGGACTTAGAAACACAAAATAGATCTACTATTGGAATCTTTCAGGTGAACTTTTCTTTTCTTTATTTTTTTTGCTATAGAGTGTGTACACTCTCCAGAAAGACAGAGAGAGACAGAGAGACAAAAAGTGAGAAATCACCCCCCAGGGGGTATGGCCATGCTGCAATCCTTCTTCTCCATTCTCCTCTTGAGATCTTGGACATGCACATGTGTCGGGTGTGAGTTTAAGCCACCGGGTCCGGGACTCGAACTGCAGTCAACTACATGGGAGTCCAGAGACATAGCCATTATGCTAACTGCTGGTCCCCAGGTGAACTTGTTTTGATAGGGAAGATGGAATCAGGAAGGCCCTAAGTATAAAGGAGTGTGACCAGGGTGGACAGCTTCCTTAAGGACAGGTGAGGGGTAACAGGAGAACTGGGCCCTGAAAGTGAACTGGAGGACACGGTAGAGTCAGGGTAAATACAAAACATAACCAGAAATGGTCGAAAGAGTATGTAGGAGGCATAAATGACTGAAGAATGAAAATGGCCTATGGAAGAAAAGCTAAAGGATCAATTATATAGAATAAATAGAAGTCATAGCAAGAGACTATGATTTTTAATCATTGAAAATGCTTTGTAACAAAATTTATCAATTTTTCATGGCAAAATTGATGATAGCAATTTATGATATGCATGAAAAATGAATATGGAACTTTTTAACATGCGTGGCTATATAAAATAACTTAATGTTTGTCTTTGTATCAAAAGAAATATTTATTTTTATATTACTTTCAAAAGCAAGTTCAAAATTATGTGTATATTACAGTAAAAGTCTAAGTATATCCTATGCATGGAGAATACTTTAGAAAAATTTGTTAACATAATCCTAAAATAATTGTAGAATTGGGTGGGTAGGAACTTTAGCGGTAACATGCCACTCAAGAGATGCTGGATCCATGTGGGAGACAGCCAGTTTGGTTTGGTTCCCTAGATGATCTGTGTATGCTAGGCACATATGCTCACTATCCTGAAAGGCAGAGAGGGCTAGTGGGGGGTGTGGATTGCAGAGTGAGATCTTGTTGAGAGTGCTCTCAGTGTCTTTCTCACTCTCTTTGTCTCTGTTTCTCTGTCTCTCATTCTCATGAATGAAGTAAATACACTTCAAGTTGTTTTTTTAAATCTCCAGTCCTAGCCAAAATCAGCCCCCTTTTCAAGGAGCCCTGGTTCCTTTTATTAAGAGTGAATTAGGGCCAACCGTAAGTGACTCAGATGATAGTATTACCAGTCTATAAGGCTGGAAGCCATATGGGCGACTGCAGGCTCAAATCTGAAGAAACATGGGCCTCACATGAACAAGATCCTGGTTGGCTAGAGAACTGGGAGAAGGAGATTGTGAAGTGACAAGACCCTGTTGACAGCGCCTTTCTCTCTTTCTCTCTCTCTCCCTCTAAACTCTCTCTCTCTCATGAAAGAAATAATAATAATAATGAAGAATAATAAAAAAGAATGAGTTAGGAATCAATAACTGGGCACTAGATGTGCTCTTTGCTATTCGAGGTCATTGCTCTATAGCCTCTCAGTTACAGAGCAAGAAAATAGACAAATATTTGTACAAATATAACTATTTTTCTCTCTATTTGCATCTCTATATGGGCGACTGCAGGCTCAAATCTGAAGAAACATGGGCCTCACATGAACAAGATCCTGGTTGGCTAGAGAACTGGGAGAAGGAGATTGTGAAGTGACAAGACCCTGTTGACAGCGCCTTTCTCTCTTTCTCTCTCTCTCCCTCTAAACTCTCTCTCTCTCATGAAAGAAATAATAATAATAAAGGATAATAAAAAAGAATGAGTTAGGAATCAATAACTGGGCACTAGATGTGCTCTTTGCTATTCGAGGTCATTGCTCTATAGCCTCTCAGTTACAGAGCAAGAAAATAGACAAATATTTGTACAAATATAACTATTTTTTCTCTCTATTTGCATCTCTATTAAGCTGAGTTTACACTGATACCTCCAACTTTGCTACCCACAGGGATCATTCTAGCTTTCTCCCCTTGTTTATTCATAAACTCCCACTCCAACAGTGAAAACCGGCTCCCACCATCTGACACCCGTTTACTTAATCATGCAACCATAGTCTATAGGGATAACAGTATCAGAACTCTTCACCTGTACCCTGTGGGAAGCAGGTTTATCACTTAACTTACAGTGCTTATATATAGTGACTTTTGCCTAAGTCTTACATCTTCTACTTATTTCCAGAGTTACTTAGATCAGTGCCATTTCCCTCCACCTGGTTCAGGGAGGTTGTTTCACACATCCGTAATATATTCATAGTTAGATTGTTTTGTCACATTCCAGATTTTCTCCTGGGATCTTCCAAACTTCAAAAAAACTTTTTAAAATTGTAGGCATTATGGTTCACCATTTGTGTCTTATTTACTCTCATAGCGAAGGTAACTTACCTCTGGAATCCACTTTATGCAGATGAAGTCTCCTATTAGTGGCTAAGGTGTTGGACTCCCACATGGCCTACCATGGTTCAAGTCCTAGCCCTGGTGGCTTTGGAAATCACAGCAGGCATGTGTGCGTACATGTCCAAAACTCCAAGAGGAGAATGGAGGAGGAGGGATTACAGTGTGGCCAACCCCCTGGGGGTGATTTCTCACTTTGACTCTCACTGTCTCTGTCTCTCTGGCAAGTGCATGTGCCCTATGGCAAAAACCAAGGATTCTTCCCTTGGCTTTACTTGCAAATGTACTTCTGCATTTAGCCATCACATTATAATCTAATCAAAAGTGTTTCCAGAAATAAGAATTTTTCTACATTATTTTAATAGTTTTTCATATTTCATTCTATATAAATATCTTTGAAGTTCTCTAAGTTCTTCATTTTTGAAACAGGAAAGGTAAAAATTGTGAATGGATTAAATAAAGACCCATGATCACATTCCATCTGTTATAAATAGGGATGTTAGGGAACAATGAAGGAATATAATGTAGCCATTTATAAATAAGAGGATATGTCCATAAGATATATTCAGGACACAGAATTCTGTATTAGGAGGTCCAGTTATTGTTACTGGGTATTGTTGTTATTTAATGTCATTGAAAGAACCTCCGTGAATTGAGAATGACTTTTTGTGCATCTCTGTGAGTCATGTTTTCTGGCTACCTGCAAACAATGGTTAACAGGCAGCTGGCTGAATGCAACTGAGCTAGAAATATAGGAACAAGTACTTCAAACACGTATTCATGCATAAACATTCTGCCATCGCTGTGAGAGACTGCGGCACCTGTTTGAGAGAGATACCGGTGTTTTATCCATTCCAGTGTCACCCTTCAATGATCATGTGGAACAACACGCGGGTTGAAGAAAAATGACTCCCAGGACCCTCGTTACTTAGGTGTGTGTCGCAGGACTGCTTGTCATGTTGCCAGCGTTCTGCCTTTTTGTTCCTGATATAAAGCGTGTTCACGTCATCGCAGCTGCTGCTAGGTATGAGTTGTTACGCCTGTAGTGAAACGTTATTTTAGGACACATCTGAGTTCAGCATTGAGGGAACATGAGTTTGTCACATTCGATAGGGGAAACAAAGCAGCAATTCTCTCTTTTCCTTTTCCCAGTTTAAAATGGTGAAAACAGTTAACATGTCTCAGAAAAGGAAGCAGAGAAATGGTTGCCCATGCCGCCTAGTTCCCAGTGCCCTCACGTGCAACGCTGTTTACTCCTCACCTGGCTGTGCTCCACATGCTGTGATTCGGCACCAGGCTGCTTAGAAAACAACGTTCGACGATTTAGGGGAGCGCTCTTCTCCAAAACATAAATTTACAGCATCCTGATGGAACATTTCGGAATGTCAATGGAAAGAAAGCATATTTGCCTTCAGTCTGTGGTGACCTCCACATCCAGAAACCCCAGACATCTTGGCAAGTTTGTCAACTGCTTTGTTAAGAAGCCATTGGTCTCATGATAGTTGTGCCATGTTAGAATTCATTATGCATTCCTATTTCTGAACTGCCTGGGAGAATTTTCTCAGCTTGATGTAAATCCTTAGATGGGAGAGACTGATCATTGTGAGAAGAAACCACATTTCCTCCTTTTCCCTTTACTTAGTTAAACATTTCAATGGCGTTTTCTCATTTTAACTGGGTATAAGGCACTTGCCCATTGGGGGTTGAATTAAGTCTGTAAACCATCAAGGAAAAGAAAATGTTTATTCTCCTGTCCTAGTCGTTTTTGAAAATGAGTCAACAGCAGTAAGTAGCTGCCCTCCCAGGCAGAAAAAACATAATTCCAATATCTAACATGTAAGATGGTGGGATATTTTTTGTTTTCTTGAACGTTCTTTTTTTTTGAACATGCAGTATGAGAAAACAGTGATACAAATGATTTCTTTTTTTAAGTGTATTTATTTCTCCCACAAGTGAGAGAGGCAGAGAAAGACAAAGATTCAGCGCTTTAAGATTAGTCCAATTCGTCCCCTGGCTACAAATTATTTACATTATTTACACAGGGAAAATATATTATCCCCTTCCAAATCCACCCCCAAACCCCAGGTCTCAACTCTTTATAGCATTAGCTTAAAGTGTAGAAACTCGTCATCTTACTCAGTTCCAAGTGCAGAGGTGGTTTCTCTAGTGTTGTTCCTTAAGTTGCAATTCTATGAGTACTGTTCCTTTTATCTCAAGCCCTGGGAGCTAAAAAGATAAATTATTGACCCATATACTCACTCAAAATACATTTGTGAAGCAGGCCTAAGATAACTACTCGAGACAATCCTGTTCAAAAAGAGAAATCATGGGAAGCCCAAAGCAAGCAGTAGTTCAGGATTCTGGGATCCACCTTAGGCACATGTTAGAAATTACTTGGCTCTAACTCGAGGAATTGCCTCAAGAATGATTCTCTGTGGCTCTAGCCTCCTCCTTCTCCTGGATTCTTGGTTCTTTCCTCTGATTCATTCTTCCTTTTCATGGAAAGATGGCCTGTTCTGTAGATATATAATTTTCTCAGTAAAAAAATTGGGGTTCCTGGGCCAGCAGGTGGGATGGTGAATGTGCTGAACTCCCGTATGAACCTCCATGGTTTGAGTCCTGGACCTGTGGCTTGCTTTCTCGCTTTCCCTCTCTCTCTTGTGAGTGTGCATGCCCTATAAATTAAAAATAAACAACAATAATAAATCAAATTAAATTAATAGTTCTTTTTAAAAAGTTGGGGTTCCAAAAGCCTCTTTTCATTGTGTGGTATCTTAGTCCCCTTCAGTCTAAGCTGAGGGTACTTCTGTCAATATAATTAGTTTTAGAAACCTTGTGGGTCTCCTGTAAATTGTATTTTAGGGTTCACTTGATTAGGCAAAAGCCATACCCATAAATCTCTTCAGGGCAAGTTCTCTACCTTGGGCTTTTGCTGAACTGTGGAAGAACAAGATCCTTAAGCTTCCTTGAAGCACTGTTATTTGACTAAGGGATTCTCAGGGGTGCCAGTGTAGGTCCGAGGTTGTAAACGAAGCATTTTTTATTTACCTGCATTTAATCTTTGCTGGGATGCCTGTAGTTCTTTCTCTTTTATTGTCAGAAGTTGTGATTTTGACCACTGTTCTCAAAAGCATAGCATCACCATGAACTAACAACCCTGAGTATTACCATGGCAAATTCCCAGAGAATAGCTAAAGAACCTCTAAATGGCTGACTCTGGAGTGCAAAATCAGGAGTGGGAAGAGGTAGATAAAGTGACTAATGATTTTTATTATAAGCCATTGGTAAGTATTTGACTGTCTAACCATGTACATGTATAAGTTTGATAAAAATTAAAATTGAAACAAAAATAGAGAAAACAAAGAGACCATGAGGACTATTTTGTAGAGAGTATAAAGGCACCCCAGGGGTGCTGCCAGTCTTTATTTTGTCCGCAGGAGACATTACTAATAGATAATAGCTCTCTTTTCTTCCAGAGCCTGGAGACAGACTCACAATCCTTCCCAATATTTATTCTTAGGGATTGCAAAGTTGAGTCTTCAAATGAAAACTGTGAGTCTTGGCCTAAGAGAAAATCCTCATTCTCTTATAGTCCTGGCCTTCATTTCTGAACGTAAGTGAAAGCAAACCCAGAACATGTATTACAGTGTGGAGAACTAGAACATACATCCCTGTATACCCAGTTCTGAAAAACACCTTAATTGAAAGGTGCTAGTTACTAATGTAGAAGTCCATTACTCCAGCAAAATTGCTACTGTTGAAAAGTAAAAGCCATGGAGAATTTTTTTCCTGAACATTAAGAAAGATATACTTTGAAGGTTTATGGTACTGTGATTAATAGAATTTTATTAGCTGTTGTTTTTAAAGTAGTTCATACTCTTCATTAGTAATACTGGCATAATATTTCATAAAAAAATCATGTTTGTTCAGGTCAACATACAGTTAATTCACACTCGAAGATGAGGTTACTCTGACAACATGACAATTTAATGAGATTTGGACAGCTTCAGAAAAGGGGTTGTTAAAAGGAAGAGAAAGAAATGCCTGGTGATAGAAAAACAGAATACCAGAATTATCTGGACAATGTTTAACGGCCATTTGCAAGGACTTATTGTCACTCTTTTACCATGGTTTTTGGTCTTTTTTTTTGTTTGTTTCTTTCTTCTTCCATTTCCACTATTACAGTGGTGGGATTATTTGTTCTGTGAGGAAAATGAGTTTCTGTACAAGATTCACAAAGCATACTTACATCCATCAAGCACAGGATCTGTTAAAATCTCCTGACATTTTTCTATGGCACTTTTACAGTCCCTGGAATTTGATTATATCTGCCTCATCTTTACATTTATTAAGCACATGGCTTACATGTGAGGGCAGAAGGTTGTAGCATGAGTTTTCTGGCCCGCGGAGTCTCAGAGGGGGATTGTAGCGCAGCTCTTTGAGGGGAGGGCCTAAGGAGTTCGTGGTAAATGAAGTATAGGGTAATGGTACGGTGTTAGAAAAAAGCACCAGAGAACAAGGACCCTGAATTCTGCCAAACCAGTGGTGTGACATTGGACAGACAAATCACTTAACCTGTGAATCTCATTTCTCGGGAAATGAGGTGGTTAGGTTTACTGATCTCCAAAATTCTTCCTTGCAACACATTTCCTTGATAAATCTTTGAGATTCCTATCAATGAGTGTTTAGGTGTGGAAAGGATGCAGGTTGTGCTTCTGTTGCTCAGCCATAAGGCACTGCTCAAGAGGAGTTGGATCCCATGTGGAAATCGTGGTTGGAACCCCTGGCTGAGACAGCCCGAAATAGACCAGGCATGCGCCTGAGTGCCTGAGATCTGGCAGGCTGGAGGACTGGAGGGAGGGGACTGTGGTGTGACCAGATCTTGTGGGGAGTACTCTTCTTTCCCCCTCTCTTTCTCTGTCACTCTCATGGGCACATGCATGAATAAAGCAAAAACAAAAACAAAAACAAGGTAAGAGTGGGGTAACCTGCATTCTCTAAAGAAAACCAAAAAGCATGACTGATAGTAAGAGCAATGCCAGGATAGAAGCAGGGAACACAGGAACCTATTTTGGAAGTTTGAGGGCAGCACAGTTATGTCTAGTCATAGAGAGGCATTAAGAAACTGAGTACAGGCTGGCTCTGTGGCCTGCTGGATAAGGCAGCCAGATCCCATGTTACCAATTGAGTGGTTTGAATCCCGAACCGGCAGCCTGAGAAGTGCACTGGGCTCATGTGCGTGCCCAAACTCCCGAAAGAAGGGAGAAATGGAGAGAGGACTGTGGCATGACCATTCTCCATGGCAGGGTGCATTCTCCTCGCCCACTCTTTCTGTCTCTCTCTGGCAAAAATACGTGTTCTCCAACAGTTGAAGAAGAAGAAAAAGGGGAGGAGGAGGAAGAAGAGGAAGAAGAAGGTGAAGGAGAAGAAAGAGGAGGATGAAGAAGGAAGAAGAAGAAAGAAGGAGAAACAGCAGCAGCAGTAGCAGCTGAGTTCCATTTAGAAAATATCTTATAGAGGGACCAGCAGTTAGCGAATGGCTATGTCACTGGATTTCCATGTAGTCTACTGCAGTTCAAGTCCTGGACCCAGTGGCTTAAACTCATGCTGGGCACATGTGTGTGCGTGTCCAAGATCCCAAGAGGAGAATGGAAGAGAAGAGATTGTGGCATGGCCATCCTCCCTGGGGGTGATTTCTTGCTTTTTGTCTCTCTGTCTCTCTGTCTTTCTGGGGAGCACATGCGCCCTATAGCAAAAATCTCTCCAAAAAAAAGAAAAAGAAAATATCTTATAGAGACTATCTGTATAAAGAATAAAATCTCAATAAAAGTGAAATAAGATCCCTAAAGGCATGAACTGAAACATATTATCATTTGTTTCATTTGTTTGTTTATAGACCATGTTTACAGTTTACCATGGGATAGTATACTTTTTTTTTTTTTTTTTTTGCTGTAGTGTTTGTGTTCCCACTGGAGAGAAACAGAGAGAGACAGTGAGAGAGAAAGTGAGAAATCAGGGGAATGGCCATCCCACACTCCCTTCTCCTCTGTTCTCTCCTCTCAGGATCTTGGGCAGGCACACACACCTGCCCTGTGTGATTTTTTTTTTTTTGGAGAGATTTTCACTGTAGGGCGCGTGTGCTCGCCAGACAGAGAGAGACATAGAGACAGAAAGCGAGAAATCACCCCCCAGGGGGGATGGTCACGCCGCAATCCCTTCTCCTCCATTCTCCTCTCGGGATCTTGGGCATGCACGCACACGCGCCCGGCGTGAGTTTTAAGCCACCGGGTCCAGGACACGAACCGCGGTCGACTACGTGGGAGTCCAGCGACATAGCCATTACGCTAACTGCTGGTTCCCCCCTGTGTGATTTTTAAGCCGTTCAGTCTGGGGCTCAAACTGTGGTGAGCCACGTGGGAGTCTAGTGCCTTAACCACCTTGTCACCTTCTGGCCCAGGAATAGTACACCTTCTTTGATAAGGAGTTTTAGCCTGGTGGAGTAGGATACGAGATGGTAATACAGATCATAACCTGAGCCCTGGCTAATCTGGGTAATCAGTCATTCTTTATTTGAGGTTCACTATCAGTTAAATTGAGGGTGTAGCATTTGCTTTTTAGTACCCTATCAGGGAAACATTTCAGCAGACAGATTAGAGACAAAGGCTCTTGAGTCAGGCAGAATTGGATTTAAACCCTGGCTTCATCATTCATTGTTTGTGCGTCCTTGGGGAAATTAAATAAGTCTAAACTTAGTTTCCTCATCTCTAAACAAGGTTTACTTCTCCCTTGTAGAAAATAGTCTGATGATAGGCAGCCCAGGAATGGCAAGGTCCCCCATTTGTCAGAGAACAAGGTTCCTTTCAGCTCAATGTGTGGACTTCACTCGATATTTGCACAAGATGACTGCTGGATCTCACCGTATCAAGTTGGAGTTCCAGGCAGCAAGCCGATGGGAGGCGTCCAGGAAGGATAGTACTGCCCTCCACACCATTTGTGTCTTATTGTTGAAAATGAGGCCAATTGGCCACATCTAGCTGTAAGGAAGACTGAAATGTAGTATTTAGGTGGGCAGCAATTTATCCAGCATTTTACTACCATTGAGGGAATAAAACAGCTATCATAAAGGAATTAGTAGTTGCTAACAGTAAAATGAAATGGCATGGCAGGGATGAGGCTGAGAGCAAAGCTATTCTTTCTTTTTTTTTTTTTTTTTTTTTTTTTTGGGGGGATTTTTTTTTGATGGGGGGGTGCGTGTGCTCGCCAGAAAGACAGAGAGAGACAGAGAGACAGAAAGTGAGAAATCACCCCCTGGGGGGATGGCCACACCACAGTTCCTTCTCTTCCATTCTCCTCTTGGGATCTTGGGCATGCATGCACACGCACCCAGTGTGAGGTTAAGCCACTGGGTCTGAGACTTGAACTGCTGTCGGCTATATGGGAGTCCAGTACATAGCCCTTATGCCATCTGCTGGTCCCCAAAGCTGTTATTTCTTAAAGGAAGAAAGCAAGAACAAGGTGACTTATGCAGCACCAATGATCACAAAGGCAAGGGTACACTCACACAGTGTATTTGCTTTGCTTCATGAAGATCTGTTCACATTTGCACATGTGCACACAGAAGTGTATACATATACCTA